GATGTTGTTGGGGATCAAACTAGTGACCATTTCAACTATCCCCTCGGATAATCAGAAATTGAGGGGTAAAGTGGGAAGTTTTCATGACGCCTTTTGTTGCCTGACTTATGTAACCGAGGTAAAACCCCCTCCGTACTCGAGGTAAAATGTGTTTTTTGTGAGTAAATTTGAATCTCTTGAATATAAAAATGCAATCTTGCTAAAATTGATTCAGATTAAATCTTTCTTTAATCCAGAAATAAGCTAAGATAATCAAATCTTTAATTGAACATAAAAGGAAACAAATCTTCAAATGTGCAAGAATTACTACAATCAGCTTGCACACCAAGCAACCTTGAACGAGACAAGATATATCAACAATGTAGGACATTATGCTAAATATAATGCCTTATACTAAAACGCCTTGATCACTTAGAGACAAGATGTCTCACAACCTGAAAGAACATTTAGCTTCACATGTTGCCTTTGAAATATTGTCAATCACATGTAATAACAAACTTCCCTCTTTGGCCAATTTTTAGGCAAATAAGGCATACAAGATATTAGACACATATTCTCTTTGGCCCATATTGTACTATAAGTCATGGTAGAAATGTGTACGCCCTTGTAGTTGTGGAGGACTACTCTCGCTACACTTGAGCAATATTCTTATCTCAAAAAAGAGATATGTTTGTTGTCTTTCAAAAATTTGCCAAAGTTATGCATAACGAAAAGGATCCAACATTGCATCCATTAAAAGCAACCAATGTGGAGAATTCCAAAATGAGGAAATTCAAAAAATTTAGTAACAAAAACGATATCCAGCATACTTTTTTTCACTCCATGAACTCCCAAACAAAATGAGTTATTAAAGAATAAAAATAGATTTCTAGAAGAGCTTGTGAGGCGGATGCTCAATGAGACAAATCTTCCTGAATATTTTAGGACTGGTGCAGTAAGCACCACTTGCTATGTCATGAATCATGTCTTGATAAGACCAATAATAAATCTGACGTCCTATGGACTATATGAAGTAAGAGAGCCGAACATCCCTCACTTATATATTTTTGGATGCAAATGTTTTATCCTTAACAACAAAAAACATGATCTTGGAAATTTTGACACAAAAGTCGATGAAAGCATATTCATATGATATTTCCCTTCGAGCAAGGATTTTATAGGGTTAACAAAGAACTCTAACAATAGAATAATTGGTTCACGTTACTATTTATGAAACTAACCCTAAACTATTAGAAGTATAACTTATTGAGTGTGTGATTATTTTGGAAAAGACAAATCTAGAATAAAATGATCAAAAAGTAGAACAAGATCAAAATTAGAATCAAGTCATAGATGCACTACTATAAACAATTTCAACTCACATAAAAAAAACCTGAGGTATAATATATGTACGCATCATATTTTGTTTTTCTTTCTAAAATATAATCTATTATGTTGGTTTTGTAATAAACTGAGGAGTAAACTAGTTCAAGGTACATGCTTCGAATCTCAAAAACAACAAGTTTTGTTTTTATTTCTTAAAAAGTGGTGCCTTTATTTATTTTATTTTTTATTTTATTATTAAATAATATGTTTCATCGGTTTCCTTAATAACCGAGGGGCATGCTACTGAGATTTAACTATAAAAGGATTTGTTTAATAAGTTTTTTCCTAAATTTAATTCATATATACAACCGCTTCATACTTGTAAACATCATTCTTTGGGATGGATATCAAGATAGAATTTTTTTGTTTATGTGTTGTTGTTCATCTAACACACACTTTTAACAAATCATTTTTGTGATGTTGCTATCCATCTCACATAATGTTGTTATTTTTGTTGTTGTTGTCGTTGTTGTTTTTATTTTGGTTGTTATTGTTGTTGTTGTTCTACCTCTTGTCAATGTTTAATTTGTATAAGGAAACATTGTTATATTCAGGATATAATCCTTTGTTTGATTATAGCAACACAAAAAAGAAATTAGTGAATATATGGTAAAAAGTTTAAAATGTTTCTTTCATTTTTTCCATTCACCATTTTTTTTGAAATAGATGTATTATATCATCTGATTTTATTTAATAATCAATGGGATAAACCACTACTATAAATAACATTATTTATGATGAAGCTTACACCTCGAATAATAAAAAATGAAAAGTATAGATCCTGGGAGCGCCATGTTTTTTTTATAAAAAAATAAACAATAAATTTCCTTAAAAACCGAGGGAATATAGCTATAAGAAAGCTCGCTTTGAATCCCATTTACTGCATTTTATATTTTTTTTCAATGGTTTAATTAGTAATTTTCACTTGTCGCCCTTCCAACTTCACTTTTTTTCTCTGTTAATATTATTTTTTTCATTTTTTATTAGTATTTACTTGGGTTACATGGTCCTACTAAGAGGTAATATATTTTGCATCAACAATTTTAAATTACTATTTTTAAAAACCCATTTTAATTTTTTATTTAATATATTCAAATGTCTCGGTTTCATCAAAAACCGGCGTGATATATATTTTATATGAGTTCCCATAATATGGCGCTATTTTTATTTAGGCAAAATATCCTTCTTGGTCCCTTAACTATACCTCGGGGTTCATTTTGGTCCCTTAACTTTAAAAAGTTCCATATTGGTCCCTTAACTCTTCAAATGTTCCATATTAGTCCTTTTTTACCTATTAGCGACGGAGTCGCTAAATCCGTCGCTAATAGGTCAAAAAGGACTAACACTACAAGAAAATTGGCAAATTGCGACGGTTCATTTTGACATATTACGACGGTTTTAACCGTCGCAATTTGTAAGTTACGACGGTTTCAACCCCGTCGCAGAAACGTGCGTCGCGAGGCTGTATTGCGACGGTTGTGAAAATTGTCGTACAAACCGTCGTTATTTTCACGACGGGTAGTTAACTGTCGTAATCTCCATATTGTGACGGTTTTCAACCGTCGTAATTATATTTACTAATTTTAAGTATTATTTATTTTCACGACGGGTAGCTAACTGTCGTAATCTCCATATTGTGACGGTTTTCAACCGTCGTAATTATATTTACTAATTCTAAATATTATTTATACTAGTTACGACGGTTTAAACTGTCGTAATTTTATCTATAAATTTTTTTTATAATATTCTATTTTTATTTAAATTACTTTCATCTCATTTTTTTATAATAGTTTTTTTAATTTAAACTATTATTATTTTTTGATAATATATCAAATATATAAAGACTCACGTATATCAAATATATAAAGACTCACATATAACAAATATATAAATTTATATAACTTAAAAAAAATTGATATTTTATTATAACTTAAAGTATTATATTTTCTACTAAATATATACTTATGAATATCTAAATGATCAAATGTCATAATCTATAACTTGATATATACAATATAATCAATATAACTCTACAACCTATGATGATCCAAGATATTCTGCCCAATTTTCCACACCAAATGATGATCCAAGATTTTCTACCGATGGCTGAAGAATTCTTTGGTATGACTTTGCCTTAGAGGATAGACATGAACATCTACAAAAGCTTAAAAATTACTTCCAGTTAGCACCAATAAAGAAAATCAGTTGTGGTCTTCTAGTATCATCATGAGCCCTTCATAATCAGTTTTGTAGTCTTCTAGTTGTTGCTAATCTTTTGGTTTCACCAACACGCTCTTCCAAAAGCAAAACTTCCTCATGTTTGTACAAGGAGGTTGAACAGTCCTGCTCCTAGGAGCTTTCTTTTCTGATTCTTGGGAAGGTTTCAAGCGTTTTGATGCTCGACCAATTGGAATAGGATTCTTCGATATATATTCCATATCGTATATACTTGAATCAAAATTGGTTATAGCATTTGCACCTTTGTACTTTAGGGCTGCAACGTCGGAGGCCTATGCAGCTTTGTCTTCTTCGGTTTCTATAAACATACAAGAATCAAGAATATTCAACTTTAAATTCAGAATATTGAACTTCAAATACGGTGTGATAATGTTGATTCAGAATTACTAATGTCCTGAGTGTGTGAATTAAAGGCATCTCAAAACATATATGGATAAAAATCTATGAGATTGGTTAAAATATCAGCAGAATAAGCTAATAGTGTTATTCTGGAGTATCAGGCATTTCTCTAAATCCAATTATATTGTATAAAATAGAAAATTATTAATATCAGAAGATGAAAGAGCTTGCCAAATGTTCCCAAGTATCTATCTTTGTTTTCAGCCACTCGACCAATTCTTGCTTGCCATTTACAACTTTGGCGGTGTCTGAAGGATCCAAACTAAAAAAAACATTAGAGATACAAGAGAATGATAATCACTGGATAGTATATGGGGGTTTCAAATTTCAAACCTTGTAACACCTCTATATTTTGAAGAGACAAGTTACATCATCACCATTCACCTCACTAACTTGCATTGTAAAATAAATACTACTTAGTGTATAAAACAAAAATGTATACTTGAACCTTGACCATTGACCATTGTCTACTACCACTTGAACCTCATAATAGAAAAACACTTAACCTCATAATAGAAAAACTCTTGTCAGATCTATCCTTGCTAACTTCTATATTATCCAACCTCAACCTGAAAAATGGGTGGCATCGAGACGTTTAGGACACAAATAAATATCTTTGGAGTCCCTGTCATATTGCATTCCTTAGAGCACCCTGCATTAATATAACACACGTAATTTAAAAGAACATTTAACATTTCAATTGGAATTCCATCTCTCAAACAAATTCCAAGAAAAGAGAAGTTGATGTTACCTTGACATCAGAAGCTGGTACTATCTCATTGCTTTTTGGATCCAACTTTTTCGTTTCGTAATATTTTGATATTGGCGATGCAGCATCTCTGAGATAAATAGCTCCGACTTTTGAGTCTGAAATATTGTCAAGAACCGGGAGTTCAGGCTTAGAACCTATCGTAATTCTCCTATCAAACTTCGACGGACAAGGAGGAACGACAACGGCTGCTGCGGTTGAAGAACGGAATGCAGAGAGGAGGGAAATGTTATGTGTGATTTGTATGCTGGAACTGCAGAAGAAAGAAACAAAGTGCAGAAACGATGGATGGAGGACGAACAAGGTTGAAGAGGTACTCAAATTTGATGGGACTCCAAAGATATTTTCATTTTCTATAATCTTTCATACCTTCACATTGTGTTCACTTTCAGCATCCAATGCACTAGTGGCTTCATCAAGGATCAATATTTTTGGGTCCCTAAGAATGGCCCTAGCAATAGCAATTCGCTGTTTTTGTCCACCACTTAAAAGATCATCATCAACAAGTGTTTCATAACCATTAGGAAGTGCTGAGATAAAGTCGTGAGCATAGGCCTGCTTCGCAGCCCACTCAATATCCTCCTGCTTTACATCTCGAGTACATCCATATCTGATGTTCGAGCTAATATCCATCGGGAATAGCTTTGGTTCCTGTACAAAGAAAAATTCGGCCATAAGAAAGGAGCTATGTTGATTCAATGAATTTTTTTCGTTAGTTTCTTAAGTACCTGTCCCACATATCCGATTCTCTCTCTCCACCACATGACATCCAAGTCTTTATGAGGGACACCATCGATCAAAATCTGCAATAAAACATTTTGTTAATATTCTGCTTATCTTGGCGATTCATTTTAATTAAAACTATCTTAGTTCAATCTCGGCTTTAAGGAGATAAACAAACTCTACCTGACCACTTGTAGGCTCATAGAGACGGAGCAAAAGATTCACCAATGTGCTTTTTCCGCTGCCACTAAGACCGACCTATGCAAAATGAAAAGAACCAGCAGATTAGCCTCTTAGCCATTATGCAGGGAAGGAACGAATTCAAGAGACTCGAAGCAATTTCTTACAATGGCAACCACCTCGCTAGGATTGACAACAAAGTTTACGTGTTGCACTACAGATACCTGTCACAATTGAATGTCACTAATTGAGCTTGTATAACAGACAATGATAAAAAGTACCAAATATACAAGCTGTCAGCACTAAAGAGTACCAAATATACAAGTTGTCAACAATATGAGTCGTATGGAGATGATATCACTACGAGGCTTACCGTTGGCCTCGAAGGATAGTGAAAAGATACATTTACAAACTCCAAATGCCCCGTTAAACTTTGCAACCTCATTCCTGTAGCAAAAATTACATCCAACCTTCAATATATTTGAATACGACAAAATAAGAACAAAACTGGTGCGTGGTAGTTCATCTTGTCTATCATCAGAGCTTCTCTTTTCTATTTTTAGTTATATTATATGATACTACAAGTAGACGACTAGAGTTATATACAGGTAGTAACTTGGTAAAGTCAAATGAAGCATGAAAAGGATGAAATCAATAAGAAGCTTTTTACTAATGAAGTAGATGAATTGAACATGGCTCTTAAAAACGCTTGCCTTCTGTGATAAATTGGCTGCTAGGTGAGAGATCCATTAAATTGAACACTTTTTCACTAGCTCCAACTGACTGCATCAAATTGGATATATTGTCGCCCACCCGCCAGGTTGAATAAATTAACCATTCACTGTATAGTATAAACTTAGTAAGTTTCTCTGCTGTAATATGACCCGCTAGAATAGACATTCCTCCAAATAGCACGACAATAACCTATAACATTTAAATGTTTCAATAAAAGCAAGAGTCAAGTACAAAGGCTTAATTGAACTTAGAAAATTGTTGATTATTAATTCTAGAACATTTTTTATTCAATATATCAGCTCATAGGTTCAAAACAAATAAATAAATACATGGAAAACACTGTGATCCATACCTGAGTTGAGTGATAAAGAGTGTTGAAGTTAAAATTCCAAAATCCATATGCAGCGCTTTGGCGCAAGCTTATGTCAGCTAATTTTTCCAGCCACAATTTGTACATGTGGTTAGAGATGGACGATATGCATGAATAGAACAAAAACAATGGTAACAAATGAATGGACAGTAAATGTTATAGTTGCAATGGCATTATCACCTCTCCTGTTCTTCTTCTTCTGTTCCATAAACTCGAACAGTTCTAATAAGAGAGAATGTCTCTTGAGCTACCTACGATTTCAATGTGGAGAAAATTGTGATCATGGTGACAATTCATAAAAAAACGAAACAAATTATTGTAGTGTAAGGCATTGTATTCTACATTATTAGCAGAAGCAGTGACTTCTTGGATCAACCTTGCTGCCTTCTTCTGGTACCTATGCAGAAATATATAATCAAATTAACAGCATTGCTCATATAATTTGCACTAGTCAACTGTAAGCCACAAGAAATGCAATATCAAGTTTATAAATGACGAATTTGAAGAAAATCAACCAAGAATTACCTTCCATAACGTAACATGACCGCTGCTAATATGGAGCATATCACCAACGTACATAAACCAAGTGGCCAAGACAAAACCAACAAGTAGATTAATGAACCTCCCCCCTAGGAAAACAGGGGGAAAAAAACAACTAAAGCCTCCATCATGCAGGATAACTTCTATTAGCATTACATATTTCGTAAATAAATAAACCTGAAGGACATTGCGCAATATCAAGTTAAGATCATTTCCAATAACCCTTGAAACTTGCTGACAATCTGCCCCAAGTCTACTTGTCAAATCTCCTACTGTTTCATTGTCAAAAAACGATATATCCTACAATAAGGACACTATCAAATGAGTTAACCACACCAAATAAAAAACTAAATGCGGCGAGAGGTCAGTTATCCAGTGAAGCAGAACCTGAAGAAGGAGGGAAGAGTATAATGTTTCTCTCATTCTCTTAACCTGCACATTTAAAAAAATTGTACAACAAAGTTGAAGAAAACCCTAAAAGTCAAATTCTTCACAAAGGGGAATCAAAGAAAATAGAAACATTACCTGGAAATATCTTTTGAAGATAGAATAGAATAGATATTCCATCTTCATTCTCCTTTTGTAATTCAGATGTACTATAAAGCACAGTTTCACTATAGTATGGAGTGAAAACGCTATAACAAACAAAACACAAGCATCAAATGATAATGTTGAGAAAGATAGAGAGAACTAACACAATAAAATATTTGCATAAGCACTCATCAGACACTTTCAACTCTTATATAACACAGTACAGACACTTCGATTTCACTTTTAACTCTTACCACTTTTAAATTCCCCATCTAATTTGGACCAAACATTGATCCAACACTGAACAATTGGTGTAGAGGAAAATATTAACTAGACAGGAACCACTCTGGGGCAGGAACCGCTCTGCTCCGCTACCCACTATTTATCCTATAGTGGTCGCTATAGTGTTCTGCACCGCCAAAACTCTTCCCATAGTGATTGGCTTCCGCTCCGCTATAGCAGCATAACACCTCTATTGGTCGCTATTGACTACTCTTACTGAGACATCATTAATAATTAATTGAATGTGACTACAATACATGAATGTGAGTTAGACACTATACATTATTTCATGCATACAAACTGAAGTGTCGGTACTACCAATAGAAATGTAGTCAATCGAACTATCATGCCTCAGAGTCAGACACTATTTCATGCATACGAGCTAAACTGTTGGTACCAATAGAAATATAGTCAATCGAATTATCATCATATTTTGACCAAGATCTCGTATCGTAAATTAGACAAACCGATTTGAACCGTCAAACTATTATCAATGGTCAAGTTACTTTGTGACTACATTCACTGAAATTAAAGACAAACAGACATTCTAGGGGAAAGAATGATTACTTCTTTCGGTTTAGATTTCCTTTAACACTCATCCCCTCCAATCTTTCAACCTTCCCTATTTCATGCAGTGGTTTCCTTTCTGCCAAAGCTTTAACCGGCGAAGTCTTCAACCGAAATACCAGTTTCAATCAATCTGTTGTCTTCTAACTTTAACAGCAACTGCAAAATAAAATTCCAACGAAAAAGGCAAGAAACAAGGAATCATCAACTAATTCCAAAACTAAGCTTTTAGGTTAAAAGAATTTTAAAAAAAATTAATCAAATTGACAAACCTGATGAAAATCGAAAGTAATGGGGGATTTTTCATCTTGTAACGTCAAATAAAGACTGTGTTTGCCATCATTTATCCAGAGAGTATGAGAGATTGAAGGACTTGACAAAATGCGATTTGGGGGAGAAATTATTTTTAAAAATCGATTACAGATATCAAGACTGAGGGATTGTGATTAGGGGAGAAATATAGGCTTTATGGGGAGAAAAGGGAAGCAGAAAGCGAATTATAGGCGGTAGTTTGAAGTGTGAAGAAATACGGAGGCTACTTCTATATGTTGAATGATCTCTCAATTTTGGTGTTTTAATTTTTAAAAGTTAAAATAATGAATGGCGACTGTTGCACTGAACCGCCGTAATAAGTGTCACAAGTATGTTTTCAAGGCAGTTTTTCTATAACCGTCGCAAATCAAATGTTGAAAAATTAATTTTTAAATTAATTTTTTCTTGTAGTGATATTATTACCAAAATTAATTTTAATAAAAATTAACTATTTATATAATAAAACATAACATATTTTACTATTATTTTAGACAAAAATATTAAACTGCATTGTCATGATAATTATAATAATTATTTATTAAATTAATTAATAAAATTGAAAAGGTTGAAAAATAAAAATGAAAGAAAAAAGTGGAAAATCAAAGGAATAAAAAAATAGTGATTATGATTGGCTAAAGTAATTGCGACAGTTCACCTTAACTGTCGCGAGTGTGGAAAGAGGGCAGTTCTTTGGTAACTGTCGCAATTAATTTATACAACATGTCTAAAAAATCTGCGACGGTTGGCTCAAACCGTCGTGAGAACTGTCGTAGTCCAGGAATAAGGACGGTTTTTTTATAATTGTCACAAAAAATCTACGACAGTTGACCCTAACTGTCGTGAAAACCGTCGCAATCCATAAATAAGGACGGTTTTCTGATAACTGTCGCAACTCAAGTGTCGTAAATCTCCTTTTTTCTTGTAGTGATGGTAGGTTTGAGAAGAAGAAGGGTAAAGTTCTACAGAATTCTTATGGTGGTAATGCTCCTACTATTAAGTGCTATCATTGTAAGAAGGAGGTTCATACAAGAAAAGTACACCCTGATCGATTGAACAATCATGGTGGAAAGGATAATGGTAATCCTGCCATTGTGCAAGATGGTTATGAATCATCTGATGTCCTGATGGTTTCAAGCAGTGACTCTAGCAAAGAGTGGATTATGGATTCAGGATGTACTTGGCACATTACTATAAATAAAGACGTGTTTGAGGAATTGGTGTGATCAAGATGGTGGATCAGTGTTGTTGGGAAACAACAAAGCTTGCGAAATTGCAAGTCTTGGATCTGTGAGATTCAAACTCCATGATGAGTCAATAAAGCTATTGACTGATGTTAGGTATGTACTTGATCTTAAGAGGAATTTGATTTCTCTTAGTGAATTTGACAAGAAATGATATGTTCTCAAAGAAGAGAAAAACATCCTAAGGGTAATGAAGGGGTCGAAGGAAGTCTTGAGAGGCGTCAAGAAACAAGGCTTGTATACCCTTAAGGCTGAGGTTGTAAGTGGTTCAACTGATGTGACATCCACGAAACCTATTTCAAAGACTGAGCTATGGCACAAGAGACTTGGCCATGTCAGTGAAAGAGGCCTAGTCGAATTGTCGAGAAAAAATTTGTGGGTGGTGACAAGGTCGAAAAACTGGAGTTTTGTGAACCTTGTGTATTTGGTAAATCCTGTAGAATGAAGTTTAACAAAGATAAACAAAGAACACATGGAACCCTTGATTACATTCATGTTGATCTTTGGGGGCCTGCAAGGAATCCTTCACACTTAGGTGCGAAGTATTTTCTATTCATAGTTGATGATTACTCTAGAAAGTTATGGGTATTCATCCAGAAGACTAGGGATGAAACTTTTGAAAATTTCAAAAGTTGGAAGACTCTGGTCAAAAACCAAACTATCAATAAGGTCAAGAGGTTAAGGACCAACAATGGTTTTGAATTTTGTAATGAGGCTTTCGACAACTATTGTGTTGTGTCTGGTATTCTAGGGATTCCCCAAAAAATGGTTTGGCTGAAAGGTTTAATCGAACCATTCTAGAAAGGGTGAGGTACATGTTGGTAAGTGCAGGATTGAAGAAGGTGTTTTGGGCAGAAGTTGTTGTGACTGCAGCTTACCTGATAAATAGGTGTCCCTCAACTGCCTTGGGAATGAAGACACCTGAAGAAGTCTGGTCGGGACATCCACCTAATATCGGCAGACTTAGGGTATTTAGATGCTTAGCCTATACTCACATTAGGTAAGACAAGGTCGGACCTATAGCTCTAAAATGTATGTTCCTTGGATACCCTGAAGAAGTCAAAGCTTATAGGTTGTGGTGTCTAGAGCCAGGTCACAGGAGGTGTATCACAAGTCGAGATGTAGTTCTTAATGAAGTTGAGATGGCTTTCAATAAAACTGATGATATTGGTCAAAGTTTAAAGATTTTTGAAGAAGAGCTGGAATATGGAGAGATTCTTGTTGAGGTGGAGCATAGTGATGCTGAATTGCATGACCCAGATGAAGTTGAAGAAGAAGCATAATTTGTTGTCAAAGATGAGGATACTGATAATGACTACCTGCTGGCAAGAGGCAGGTCGAGAAGAGTCATCAAGCCACCTCAGAGACTTGGTTATGCAAATCTCATAGATTACGCCTTAATTTATGCAAGTGAGGTCCTTGATGAAGAACCTATAAATTATAAGGAAGTTATGAGAAGTCGAGACAAGACTGAATAGCTGAAAGTCATGGATGATGAGATGAAATCTCTTCATGATAATAACACTTGGGAGCTTATTGAGAAACCTGCAGGAGTCAGGTTAGTCAGTTGTAAGTGGATTTTTAAGGTTAAGGAAGGAATCGAAGGAGTGATGT